CAGGAATGATGATCACATTTGAAGAAAAGCAAGGATTATAAGTTCTTGCTATAAAACGTCCTTTTCAAGTCTATACACAAAAGTTTACTGCTTTTGAGAGTTGTGGATTTTTGATTAGTAGATACATATATTTTAATACATTCCTGTCAGTTTGGTTGTAATAGTCTGAAAAAAATCCTGTTGGTAGGATTTGGGGGAAAGTTACAAAAGACATAGTAAGGTTATGATATTCACTTGGACTATTGCAAAAGACAAAAAGCCTGTGTTTCTCAGGAAGCTAATACCATGTTGTAAGGCTGGATGTGGATGTAAAGCTACTGAAAAAAAATTATTGGCAAGGTAAGAAGGAACTGTTGAGATGCACAAATCAGAACAATTATAGTGCATTCTGCATAAGTTCTTGTGTCTTCTTTCATAGCTATACACTGACTTATGTCTTGTTTTGTTTTCAGATTCATGGTAGGCTGTGGTAGATGTGATGATTGGTTTCATGGTGATTGTGTTGGACTGAGTCTTTCTCAAGCTCAGCAGATGGGTGAAGAAGATAAAGAATATGTGTGTGTGAAGTGCTGTGCTGAAGAAGACAAAAAGATGGAGTGTTTTGATCAAAATGTAACAGATACTCAAGTGAAATTAGAAATCCATAGAGAAGAAAAGGCAACTGAGTGTGAAAAACCGGGGATGTCGAAGCAAGCACCCACTTGTAATGTGAATGTAACAGCTGAAAAATCAAAACAAACAGAGGACACTGGGAAGCACAAAGTCAAAATCTTCAGACGAGTGAGTCTTATTTGATGCTTAAACTTCTGTTCATTATTGGGAGTAGGAGTTTCCCCCTAATTCCCTGCCATTTAAAATACCATGTTTCAAACACTTGTGAATCTAATTTAGGACTTCTCCATTATTGTTTTTAGAGTTACTTAATTTTCTAACTGGCCTGACTTTTTCAAGGTACTGCTTTTAAATTCGTCTTTTATTGAGCAGGGTTATGTGCACATCATGTCTGTGGATATGCACTTAATGGAGTATGCAAAAATGGTGAAGGACTTAATGTGTTTTTCTTTCAGATTTTTAACACTTACAGGACATCTCTCAATTTGCTGTGTGATATAAACTGCAGATCTTTTAAATACCTGTAGAACAAAATGTGGAAACAGTATTTTAGTTATGATTGTTTTAACTTCAGATTGTATGTTGAAGAAAATGCTTAACATTTTAATTAGAGCAATTCTCACTCATTGTGTCTCATTTTACTAACCAAAGGATTATTTCCAGGAGCGGTGAGATGTTTTAATTACAATTCTTTAGAGTCTTTTAGTATATAGCATCACATTCATCATAACTTAATAATCAGTAGTCTTTTTTGTTGTATTTATGAATAGTAGTATTGTAATTCTGACATGTAAACTATTCTATTTAATTTTGGTCTATATGTACTTCCTAATTGTAAGTCACTTCCTGTGGATGTGTGGCTAAAACTGGGTAAGGGATGTTCATTGGAATTCCTGACCTTTTAAAATAGCTGAAAACATAGAGCTTAACTGCAAATTGCCTGTGATGTGTCTTTGGCCATTATTTCAGGATTGTTAAGCAATACATGGCAGTAATTCGGAAAATTGTTCAGTAACTTTTTAGAAAATACTGTATGATGGTGGGTACTTCCAAGGAATTTGTTGTACAGGATAGTTAAAAAGAAGAAAAATGAGAAGAATGTGTGGTAATTATGTAGTGGTTTATTGTAGCATTGAGTAGTGTGCTGACACATGTAAATGTTTATTGCAGGAATCTGGTGATGGGAAGAGCTCTTCTGAATCCAGAGACTTGGATCTTAAAAAAGGGCAACATCTCCCTGTTCGCAAAGGATCACAAACTGCTGTAATTCCTCGGCGGTCTCCTGAAGATAAAAATGAAAGAATAAATAAGGAGTCTCTCAGTGTGGTGGAAAGGTCCACAAAATCAGGTAGTGAGGTTTGGTGAGATACTTCACACTGTAATTTGCATACATTCAGGATGATGACTGACTTTATAGTACCAGTTTTTTTAAACCATGTTTCATAATGCAAATCATAGTTATCTGAAGAGCTGTTTGTTACCATTATGTTTATGATCCTTATTTCTCTTTTTTTTTTTTTTTAAACTTTATTTCTCAGGTAAATATTTCCTGTGTAGATGTGTGAATGTTTCCTGTTAGAATAGTAGAAGATGCTCACATAATCAAGAATTAAACTGTATTACGCTTTATTTCACATTGGAGAAAACATTGAAATACTCTTCCATAAAATACTATTAAATACTTAATGTACACTCTCATTGCTATATAAATTACACTTGGACATACTGATATCTTTTGCTCAAAATGAAAAATAATAGGATTGACTAATTTCAAAGAGGAACATTGTATTGCACATTAGCCATCAGATTTTCTTGTACATTTTACTCACAAGGTTTGAAGGGGACCTATTTTCCTTCCTAGCAATAAGTTCAGGGTGTTCTGCGACTGAAATCTCAGCAGCAAAGCTAGTGACAATTTTTGAGAACTGTGTCTTTAGCTCCAAAACTCAAGCTTTAAATTATTGTCCAAAAAATACAACCTGCTCTTCTGGTCTTTCGCCAATGCTGATGCATTCCAGTAACTCTTTTTGGTGGAGGAGAGCAATTTTAAAATGTCAGGGTTAAGTGTAAATGTAAGTATTTTATACTGAATAGCATTTTACTAGACTTAAAGTAACTTCTTGTTCAGCTTTGAAATTCTGAGCCACAAAATAATTTATATCCTTTTTAACTGCAAATTACATGGAGTAAAGACTCTCTGGCATCCATGAAATAATTAATTATTCTAAAATACATTGTTTGAACTAGGGAATGACAAGATTTTTACAGTGATGATTTCAGAATAGAAGTTAAACTTAAAAAATATTTTTAACAGAGAGGAGGCTTTGCCATCTCTGTTGGGACTATTAGCATAAAAATACTAAGCAGCGTGTTAATTTTAATGTCTTAACTGCTTTCAGTTATGCTTATGGTGACATTGTTTATTGCTAAGCTTGCCCATTGCTTCCCTGTTACAGGACTGTGTTTTCAGATGTGAAGGTTTTCCATTTCCCCTGACCCTATTAGGCAACAACTTTGGAAAGGCTGTAGTCCAGTTCTTCATCCTCCTTCTGAGGAGGAGATGAGAAAAAAAATGTATTAATCAAATAAAAGCATTATCAGAGCTGCTTTATTTAACAAGCTTAGCGTATGAATACTTCAGATCACAGCACAGAATGGCAATCAGCTACTTCAGGTCTGTACCATCTAGCTGGGGAGGAAGGGCAAATCAGCAATTTTGATAAGCATTATAGTCGTCTTGATGATCCAACCATGCAGCCTGCCTGACAGAAAAGGAAATCTCTTTTTATAGCTACTTGAAAATGTTGTTAGTTTACTCCTATATTAATTGCATCTTAAGTTGCTCTCAATAATAAAGGCATCATTTAAGGATCCAACACTCAAGTTAGATCTTTGTCAGTCTTCAGCTGCTTTTTTTCAGAGTAGAAAGTGAATAAGTATTATTTCCTGTTGCTTTTGTAATAGAAGCTTAGAGCTCTAAATTAGTGACATGGTCACATGCTGAGGCAAGTGAGCTTTCAGTTTATATTCTGAAAATTGAACCTTGAAGGAATGTGGGATTTTTGCTTTAATGATTTTAATTTTATTAGGAATTTCCATTATTTATATTATTTATAACCCAAACCTTACAATAGCCTTGTTTAGGAGTGTCTGTTACCTGAATCAGAAGCTCAGATTATTATACTTGAAATAATTTTGATATGTAACAGATACAGAAATGCTAAGTTTAAAGAAAAATGCTATTTTGAAGTAAAGTTTAATATGCATATAGTATGTGCTTCCCAGTATATTGTTTCTCAGTTTTCTCATTGAAATATTAGTCTGTGCTATAACACAAATTCAGAGTAAAAAATCCTACTTAAGATCAAGCTAATTAGCATGGATCATCTCGATCCAGTGTAGAAGAAAATACCTTAATCATAGGGCAGAAGTCCTGCTTGTTTCTGGATTAATCTGTGCAATGCAAAATGCAAACCAAATAAGAAAAAAAATTAACAACCACCCTGTGAGTCCACTCCTTTTCCTTGAAGATGAATTTTTAGGAGTTTAAAAAGAAAACTTCATTGCATCCAGTAACAGCAAACATTTTAACAGTAGCTTGAGTAGCTTACAGTTTTAAATTTTGTGTGTTTTGATAGGTATTCATGAGAAACAAGAAGTTAAGAAAAAAAAAAATGAAAAAGGACCCGTTAGTGCAACACACGTGCCAGCCATGCCAGCTTCCAAACCTTCTGCAGATCAGATAAGACAAAGTGTCAAGCAGTCTCTTAAGGAAATCCTGATGAAAAGGTAAAGATACTTGAAGGGCATCTACAGAAAATCTGGGGAGGGGCTTTTCAGCAGAGAAGATAGTGATAGGACAAGGGGTAATGGTTTTAAACTGGCTGGATGAGGTTTTGTGCAATCTAGTCTAGAGGTAGGGTTCCCTCCTCATGGCAGGGGGGTTGGAACTTGATGATCTTTAAGGTCCCTTCCAACCTTAATGACTCTATGATTCTATTCTATATATTATTAAATTAAATTATTATTTTTTGTTTGTAATTATTTTCTTTTTGAAGGCAGAGAAAAAATACTGATTATTTGAAAGCATTTGGTAATTTTTGCTGTTGTGTTCTCTCACAGATTGACAGACTCCAATTTAAAGATTCCTGAGGAGAGAGCAGCAAAAGTTGCCACCAGGATTGAAAGAGAGCTGTTTTCTTTTTTTCGGGATACTGACTCAAAGTATAAGAACAAATACAGAAGTCTGATGTTCAATCTAAAAGATCCTAAAAATAATGTATGTATTCTATTTCTGTTACACTTTGCAGAAATATTTTGTGTGCTGCAGATTAAAGGAATAATCTTCTATGTAGATAGAATATTAATCTTTTCACAAATTATCCTGTTTGTTGGTTTGTTTTTTTTTTTCGTAGACTTTCCCATCTCTTTGATGTTGTTTGGCCTCTTGAGCACTCACTGTTCTCTGTTTTCCATCATTAATTCTTCAACTGCTTGCACCCACTGTACTTTTTATAGTGGGATTTCAAAGTGCAGTGGATATAGCTTGCCTAACTTAAGTGTTCATCTTTATTATTAATCTTTTGTTTGCTTGTTCCTGGCTGACCCATAACTCTTTCCTGTTTATTTATTTATTTTTGTTTCTGCCCAATACCTTTTTCATACCCAGATTTCTCAAGCTCAGTCTTCACTCTCTTTTCTGCTCTCTATGAGCCCATTATTCAACATCATACTTATCTCCTCTACTTGTATCTTTTGTTCCTATCATTGGTTAATCTGATCAAGTTGCTTTGTCTATAATATGTTACTATTACAAGTAGCCAACTGTAAATTATATGAACAGACTAACTTCTGTCACTGCCTTCTCTTTCTTTACTCATGCTGCTACGATACATGGGGTTTTTTTACCCTGGGAGTTCACAACAGTCAGTCAAGAAACATAGACATCCTCTTTAATGCAAGCTTCTTTCTGCTGTGCAATACAGGGGATTTGATTTGCACCTTCAAAAAATTAGTCTTGAGTTATTGCTGCAATGGGCATAAACTCAGTATCTCCTTTGGAACAACAGTTAATTGTAAGTCTTATCATTAAGGGGGATCTGTAGATGCATTCTTTTACGTAGAATAAACGAAACTCTAGAGATAAGCTTTTTATCTTTGAAAATCTGCTGCTGTTTCCTACAGTGGGAAATAATTACAGAAACACATGATCCATATAGCTGTGCAGAGTATGTTGTATATTTCCTGCTTTGAGCTGGTTTTGTCTTGATAGTTTAAGGTAACTTCCCTTCTTTCTTCTAGATATTATTTAAGAAAGTACTGAGAGGAGAGGTTACTCCAGACCATCTAATAAAAATGAGCCCCGAAGAACTGGCTTCCAAAGAACTGGCTGCTTGGAGACAGAGAGAAAACAGACACGTGAGATTTGTTAACTTTTGGTGTTTAGTTGACTGCCTAAGCAGTTTCTACCTTCTGTTTTCTGGTTAAGATTGTGTAGAAAGAACAGAATGCATGTTGCACAAAGTAACTTTGACTAATAAGGATCTCTAATTTAATTAGTATTCAAAACCCAAAGGGGTTGTTAGGACAGAAGTGAAAGAAGTGTAGTAAATTCCTGAAAGGGGGAGAATGTGCATTTTTCCTTTGCTGTGCAGTTTTGTTGCTGCTTGCTCTTTTTTGCTTCTGTCTCAAGACTGAAGGCTTCTTCGTCCTTATTTCCAACAAGATTCTAAAGCTCTCACTGGAACTTTATAGCCACCAGTTTCTTAAAAAGGTAGAGATAGCTCTTTGGACAAACCAAACCAGTGTTGTTTATAACTCACATACCAATGGAGCATGAGAATTTACCCACTAAGAGGTAAACCTAAAGCTGAAAACTTCATCTGCCAGCTGGAAAAGCAATGTAAAGGAAAAGAAAACCTCACAAAAAAACCCCAACAAAACAACAAAAAAAACTCGACCAAAGGGTAGGAAGCTTACTGGGTTAGTTTAAGCATTACTTTTCTTGAAATAGAAAGTCATGCTGTATTTATACCTGTATTTGACAGG